CCGCTTGAAACCTCTACTACTCAGTCAAACGGCGACTAGGTAACAATTATGTTTACTTGGTCACTCCTTAAAAATTTAGTATGAAATTAAAAAGGTGTTCATACAGCGCCTGTTCACACTAGATTAAATGCGGCGGGGAACGGTCGGCCTGGACCGACTAGAGTCTCTAGCTTAAAAAACAAAAAAAAAAACAAACAAGGCAGGTAGGAAACCACCTTCCTACTTGGTTAAAGGAGATCCAGTCTTTAAAGTGGCCGACTGATCGCTTAGCCTGGAAACAGACAACCAGTCGTCCAGGGGCATAGGTGGCGTGACTAACTACCTCGTACCTGTCCGCAACTATCGGCCATGCAAAACAGTCGGTATAGTATGCAATTGGATATCAAAGTTTTGATACTTAGCAAAATCGAAACAAATTTGGAACAAAACATTTTTTGCATAAATAAACATACCCCCGGCCCCTTGGCCGGGTAAAAGATACAAAAGAAGCCGGTCATTAAGATCGGCAAAATATTCAAAACCCCGGCCCCCTGGCCGGGTAAACAGAAACAAACGGCACGCAGGCCGTGAAAAGAAGACATAAAGCTTAAGAAGGGGGCAGATCTTCAATAGTAGCAGCTGCCGCCTGGTCAGCACTCTTTTTGCTGGACTCGGCTTCAGCTGCATCCTTCTTCGATGCATCTCCCCCAAGCGGCACAAGCGCCACTACCGGCTCCTCCTCCTCCAACGCCTCGTCCTCAGCAGCCGCCAGGATCTCTTGATTATATCTATCAGAACACTGGCGGTACGTTTTTTCCTAGGAGGAAAAGTCGGCATTGGGGAAGAGGCGGCCCCAGGTCAGGCGCTGGATCTGAGCAGAGTCTTCCATCATCTCTCGGACAAGCTCCTTCTTTTCTTGCTCGGCCTTTTCCAAGAGCTCCTGAGTAAGACTCTTCTCCTGGGTCACCAGGCGTTCCTTAACGTGCGCCAAGGATTTCTCCAAGGTGTCGTATGAGGACATTTTTTAGCGAAGAGGTCTCAGCTCGGTCTTGAGATTGTTAATGGTCGCCTCCAGCTCGTTATTTTTCTTCTGGGCCGCCTCTAACTAAGCCCGGATAGCAGAAGTAGCATGTGCCTGATAATAAAGAATGTCAATTGTCAGAACCTCATTTTGGGCAATTTGAAACATTGCCTTATCACAGTCAGAGGCGGTCATAGCTTTTGCAGCCTTTACCTCTTTGTTCTTCCTGTCAAGCGGCTTGCGAAGGCCGTTCACTCGGAGCAGGGCCTAAGTAAAAGGGAACAGGCGTCAGTTTTCAAACAAAAAAACAGGCGTCCTGGAATTTAAATAACCAAAAATATGCTAAGTATACCTCAGCAAGGACCCCTGTAATCCTGTCTAGGTCAAGGGTGCCGACACCCCTGACCGCCTCCCTCTCAGCCGGAGGGACGACTTTGATCATAGACTTGGCCACCTTGACCAAGTCTGGCTCCTGAGGGCCGGCTGCATCAAGCATAAACAAACGGGTTAGACCTAGTAAAGAAGGGAGCAAGTCTAAAATTCACAAGGACAACTTCATACTTCTAGGTGACCCGATTGGAGTTTTAGAAGGAGTGGACGGCTGTTTCTCAGCCGCCGCATGTTTCCTGGCAGAATCAGGAGAGCTCGCAACAGTCGTCCTCCGGGTCTTGGAGTCCGGCTGTTGGGAAGAAGAGGCTCTTGGAGTGCCCGTCTGAAAAAAAAAAAAAAAAAAAAAAAAAACACTCGGTCAGTATATGCATAAACCCAACTCCAAAAAGAGAGTAAAAGGTTCGGAGCTCACCAAGGGCGCCCCCTTGTTGGGGGAGTCGGTTGAGGATTGTTGCATGATGGAGGCTCGCAACATGGCCGCCGCACTCTTGGAGGCGGTAATTTTGCTCATGGCGTCCGCTGCAAGAACAAATAGCAAAGTTAATAAAAATTCATAACAGTAATGCATGGAAAAACAGAGTATTCGACAGGCCGGCTACCTCTTGAGCACCGACTGCTGAGGCCACAGGCGGCCAAAAAGTACTCGTCATAGAGCCATTTGAAGCTCGGGACGCAGTGCAGGGGTACTTGCTCTCGTACCCCTGAAGTAGAGTCGACCCTCGACTCTACTTTAAAGAGTCCTTTATCTAGGATCTCTTTCTTAGCTTTGGGGGGAACAGGCGGCATGCTGCGGCCGCCTGCAAGAAGAGGCGGATTCCTGTTCTACCTGTTGAAGCGCTTGTTCAGCTCTGTGTCTGAACTTTCAATGATAAGGAAGGTGCTTCGCCAATCCTTCCACTTGTTTGCTTTACCTCTTGTCATGAGGTAGCCTCTGTGGCTCGTCAATTGATACCAGCCGGTACCGCCTGCCTTAGGGGTCCGGCTGAGGTAGTTCATGTGGGCGAAAGCCTCGAAGTTTGGCTCCACCCCGTGCAGTTCGCACCCGGCCACATAGCCGAGTACGTTGACCCAGGAGTTCGGGGCTAACTGCCATAACCCCAACTCATACCCATCCAAGATCCGCTAAACAGCCGGATGTAGTGGGAAGCGCAGCCCAGCCTTGATGGCCGCCTCGTAGCAGCCAAAGCAGCCGCCATCATAACTAGTACCAGCCGGCCAGACGACTGTGTCTTCTGGATCCGGCACGAAAACTAAAAAGTCGGGGCCCATTGTGTGGTTCGCAATAAAGCTCCCCATTATCTCTTGCATAGCCGTGATCCGGCCCCGTGGGACAGTGCAGTAGTAGGGGGTATTTTGCTCTCGGTAAGAGGCGGATGGTTCCGCCCAATTGTCCCCCTTCTCAACTGCGTGAGAAAGCCTCGACTCTTGTAGGCGGCTGTTTTTCTCTTCTGTGTCCAGAGAAGCATGACCAGAAGAGCTAGACTCGGATTCGTCCTCTGACGAGTCCGAAGAGGACGACTCCTCCCCTCTCCCAGAGGGGCCCGCCTCCTCTCCTTCAAAAGGAGCAGGAGAGAATGTAGACTTGTCAACTGTAAAATTGGAAGAGGTCACTTTGACTCCTCCCTCAGAACTATCGGCTTTCAAGCCCCTTTGGTTCACTTCCACATCTGGCGCCTGTTAGATGTTTCACTAATCGGCACCCTGTGGGAGGAGCCGTCTGAGTTCGAAATCCTAGCAGTTCTTTTTGTTCTGGCCATCATGTTCTGCATAGACACAGAGACAGTCAGACTTTGTATAAAGGGCAAAGATGGGTCCGGAAAAGGGCAGGCGGCACTCCTAGTCCTAGATTCAGCCGTCCCCGGTGACCGGCTGATCACTAACCTAGGTCGTGTCGTGTGCTTCCGTGGTGCCATTTCAAAAAAGAATAAAATAAAGAGAAAATTAAGAGTAAGAGAACCGACGGTTACCTGAACGAGTGAAGTTGACGGAGTTCTGGAAATCCTGTGTAGTCGGCTTGTCAGAGCAGGCGGTAGGCAGAAAGGGTCCGAAATGTCAGAGCAAGTTCAGGGGTCCGAATGTTCTCTCTAAAAAGTTCTCAAGTGTGAAAATGACTGAAGTCAACACTCCCTTATATAGGCGAAGTGAGAAGGCGAAGGGTCACTTCCAAAATTCAAAATTTGGGCGGGAGAATCTCTCGGCCTTTCGCCGAGTGACACCTGTAGCAGGCCGTCGCCTGTTACAGTGCGACACCTGTCACAGGTAACACGTGACCAGTCACGTGCCACCTGTGAGGGGCAAATGATTAGGGGATTTTGCTCCCACCAATCGGAATGCGCCACGTGGGCCAATCAGGTCCTGCCAAGTGTCCCCCAGTTGGAACTGTTAGGGTTTGCCACGTGGCACACGCCTATTCGTCCACCCTGGACCTATTATGTCATGACACGTGGCATCCTCCATGCCTAATGGAGAAACCGGCCACCTAGGCCCAACTTCCAAGGGAAGCCCAATCAGCCCTAGGTTAACCTAAACCTAGGATTGGCACGTTTCCCAAGGTTATAAATACCTCCCTTAATCCTCATTAAGGGGGATTACGCACATTTAACACTCTCACCTAGAGAGACCCAATCACTTTTATTTCCGCATTGATTACTCCTTAATCAAGTACTATTTTGACCGTCGGAGGCGGATCTCCAATCATCCGGAGCATCCTTTTGTTTTGCAGGTACAGGCGTCCGGTTCCAGTCTCGGAATTGTAACTCTCCCGCAGGACATCAGAAAACCCCGAAACAAAAGTAGCACGTGATAACAGAGTTGAAAACACGTAAGCATATATATATATATAGCATGAACAGATACGACGATATAGGATCACCCTGTCTATGTCCCCGTGATGGATTCACAACACCTGAAATTTTCCCATTTACCTTGAAAAAGAAAGAGACACTAGCAAGATAATCCATGATACAATTCATCCACCACCCCGCAAAACAGAGTTTCTGCATCACCTAGCCTTCTGTAGAAAAAATCATTTAACTCTGTCATAAGCTTTAATCATATCCAAGTACCATCTTCCCTCTCTCCTTTTTCTCTTCATGGCATGAAAAAATTTGAAAGCAATTAAAGCATTGTCTGTATTAAGTCGATCCAGAACAAAAACACTTTGATTAACTGATATTATATCGCATAAAAATGGCTTATTAGCCATAGTTTCCAATATAATCTTATATAAAAAGTAACAACAATTTCACTTTAGTAAAAATTAGTAATAACTTGAAAAAGAAATACAATAGAGACTCGATAAAATAATTACAGTTCAGTAAAAATAATTTAAGATTAGCAAAAATAACTTCATTTCAACAAAATTAATTTCAGTTTATAATAAGAATAATTTCAGTTCAGTTTATAATGGTGTAAAAATAAATAATGAATTATTCGGTATTTTATTACTCCATCCGTCCCTTATTTACATGTCTACTCCCCATTTTATACAGGAATTAAGGGACTTAAAAACCATGATTGGGAAGTACAAATATGCATGTGGGGTTAAAGAGAGATAAGGAGAAAGAAAAGGTAGGTGGTGATTAAAACAAATTCTAGAAGCACGTAATCCGCTGCTGAATTATCAAATGTTTACAGCCCTCAACAGACGACTTTTCAAATTGAAGCAACGATTTATAAATAAACACCCAATTTCCATGCCTTCCACCTTTTTCCCCCGTCAATGGCGACGATTTACAGCTGCAAAGAATGCTCAACTAACCTAAACCTATTCACAAACCACCTCTTTCCTCCCGATTTCTACTTCGAATCTGGCAACAAAAACTCTCTCTCTTTCTCATGGATTGATTCGGAAAAATTCAATTTTGAAAAAGAGGATAAATTAAAACCCTTCTTTGAAACCCTAAATTACTGGGGGATTCATAGAAATAGAACCAAAATAAAGTGCAAAAATTGTGGTAAACTTTTGGGTTATGTTTATGATGATGGACCTCCTGTGATTGATACTCCTGGTCAATTTTATTTTGGGCCTAGTCAAGCTATTCCCAGAAATCCCAGGTTTCGATTCAAGTCTAAGGCTTTTCTCCTTGCTTCTGCTTCTGATTCTTAATACCACGTAATCTGCTTTTTTTTTTTTTTTTTTTTTTTTTTTGGTAATTATTGGTATAATTTATGTACTCCGTAATCGTTAATTGACTTTTTGTTTTTTGGATACTTGTGTGATTTATGATTGTAAATAAATGGGTAAAGAGATTGTGTTGTTAGACTTGTTACTAATGTTTGAGATTCATTTGTTGATTTTTTTTTGGTACTTGTTGTATTCCGTTCAGAATTTGCTGTCACGTTGCTAATTCATATTATGATATTGACATGGCAAATATTTCCGTTTAGAATTGTGTTTGATATTTTAGTTTGGGAATATATTTTTGTCCCTGTTGGAGTGAATTCAAAAACCTTTCTCCAAAAAAAAAAAAAAAAAAAAAATTTGGGAAATTGTTCTGTATACGCTTGAGGTTTTAAAAAATGCATCGTGTACCTTAAGGTTTGTAAAGAAATGCACCAAATACGCTGTTTTTTTTTTTTTTTTTTTTTTTTTATGTTTAGAGAGCCACAAAGGGCGGGATCGAGTCGATCCCAAGTTCTCGGGAGGTAAGCTCTAACCACTTGAGCTATCCCTCACTCTCACCAAATATGTCGTGCGTCTAACAAAAATCATGCTTACACACTGATTTCCTTTTAGTACTTTATATTTATGCAATAAAACTGGCTAAAAACATAAATTACATCAAAATTTGAACTCTATCGAGCATTCTAAATCCTAAATTTTTGGGTATCAGAATTTGATTTACTAATTATGTTTACTTAATAATTAAATGGTTTAGCATTATAGTAGCATTACACTGTAATAATTTTATAAACTTTGATGCTTAGGGGGTCTAAATCTAACAAAATTAACATTTGTTATGAGTTTAGGGGTATTTGGTGCATTTTTTACAAACTTCAGAGGTACACGGTGCATTATAAAGTTTGTAGGGATACACGGAGTAATTTCCCTTCAAAAGAAAAAATAAGTTTTTGTTGGGTTTAAACCACAATACTTTAGCACGGATTAGATTGATTTTGAAATGATAGATAAAATCATATGTTCATATCTGAAAGATGTTGTAAGGAGATTTGTATGCGTTGAATCTGAGCAAACATTCTGCAAAGTTGAAAGTAATTACGAGTAGTGGCTATAACACTCCTCAAATACAACCATAGAAATGATTCCTTGTTGGGGTTGTGCTCTGTGACAAATTACAAGTATGTCGAGATCTTTCCTGCTACCTTGCACGCATGGAAGGAATGAACTGTGGTGAATGGAGAACGTAATAAGGAATTTAGTTTCAGTAGAGTTTACTGCTTTTTTAGAATGGCTTCTATTAAATCTAATATTGGATATTGTAGGAATTAGGGGACACTTGCATTCAGCAATTGATTATGAGTAATATAGTACGGGGTAGTACTTAGTAATATCAATTCCTCCTGGCCCTCTCCTATTATAGAGTATTATGTAGAAACTCGAATACTTGTCCAGCTCAAAGCACAAAACTTGAGAGAAAGACTTGTGATGGGAGGACTGGAGGTGCTGGCTGCAGCTTAATGTTTTTGTTGGAAAGGACTGTCGACGTTATGTTTTCTGGGTTTGTCGTGTTTTTAACATGATAATAAACATGGATAGTAGAGTTTAATGTTCGAAAGTCAGCTAGCTTGAAGTCTGACTGTCCGAGTTGTTTGAATGGTAACTCTTTTTTTTCTTTTTCTTTTTCTTTTTCTAGTTATATGATGCAAAATTACAGAAATATTAGGAAACAGATTGCCAACAATCGCCAAAGCAATTTGACAGAATATGACAGGACATAAACCTTGTTTAAGAGAGGAAGAGCAAAGGAAAACGCATGTTGAGTTGATGACAGAATCATAACTCGATATCTTTAACAATTGAATGCTGTTAATTGGTTTTAATTCTTCAACACAGTATTCTGTACATAGTCCCTACATTGTCCATGATTCATTCTTTCCAGAAAGGCGACTAAACAGAAGAAAAAACCTACATGTTAACTCGTAAAATAGCTTTCCCTAGCTAGGTAGATTAATATACATTTCCCCTTAATTCTGAGCATTTTTTCAGACAGTATTTCAACGAATAACCTCTTTGGTCCTGCTTTTACCTCTTCTCACTCCAGTAGAACTTGAAATCATTTTGCGAGTTTATTATAGACAGATTGTAAATATTGTATGAATTCTACGAATTAATAAAGATTAAGGCTTGATAATTTGATTGATAATGGCTGAAAACTTACAAAGGTAGTAGGTTTAGCCTACAACTCTCCTATTAGCAACTTGAGGTTTCCACTCTCTATTTCCAATAACCCAATTCATGCCTGCCTTTACCTTTCCCACCTCTATCTATTTATACTAAAGCTAAGGACTATAATCCTAATAATACTAGACTTCCCAAATTGCCTCTCCTAAGATTAGTCTATTACATTGTCGGCACCCTAAAGTTCTACCTTGTCCTCAAGGTGGGTTATAGTTGGCACTCGATTCTTGGTGACGGCGACATTGATCTCTAAAAATTGCGGAAGGAAAAAATTGGATTTTCAGAGTGGGCTTAAAAAATGGAGGATGTGGAATTTGGCTCTTAAAATTCAAGGTAGTATGGTTGAGTTTCATAACTGTTGTTAGATGCATGGCCCTAACATCATCAGGCCGCAAAATTAAAAGATAATTGAAATGTGATAAAATGGGCTTGAAGTTATGTGGCCCAAATAGGGATCCTTTAATGTTAATTCTTAATTGAGGTGCAGATTTTAAAATGGATGAGCTGACTCAATTGTACCACTCCCACCCAATATGATTTACCCAATTTTCCCCTACTAGCATACCCCCTTAATTGGTTTCCTCCACAAGCCAAAGAAGATTCCGGTCAAACTTTTGCCAAAAGCTGCTCCTTTTGCATTGGTAGGCGTGTCGCGTACCTATCCTAACAGACCAATACTAATGTAGACTGGCAAGTAAGGGTCGGATCCCAATAGACTAAGGTTCAAAAATAATTAAATAGACTCGAATTTCTACTAAGCAAGGATCAATTATAATCAATTATCTACGGAACTAAGTATGAGAAGAATTCGAAAATAAACTAAATAAGATGATTAAATCAAGTACTTAAAACATCCAAGATCTAGTTTCACCACAATTATTATTGATGCAATTGTAATTCTACCCTTAACATACGATTTCAATCGAATGGGGAAAAGTAAACCCTAATAAATACCAAGGATCTCTCTCGAGTATCAATGGCTTCCCTAACATACAATCAATCCTATTCTCATGGTATCATGCATATTAAAGACATTAAACACGTTACTCTAACTTCCCAATTATCAAACACAACTACTCTCGTGTTATGAATCAAACCCTAAATTAATTTATTCAAATCCGTTTAAACCCAACTCTCGTTGTGATAAAAACAATGGAATAATCGCAATACTATAGTTACGTCTAACCTAGCATTGGCATAATCACAATCAAATTAGCAATTCAATTGTTAAAGTTATTAAAGAATTTAAAGATTTAATTCATGCATCAATAATAATAGGGCTACACTAGATCTTGAATTAAAGAAGATACTCACACATGATTCAAGAAACAAAAACAATAATAAATAATGAAAACATAATTAAATAACAAAGGATGAAAAATAAATACCAAATCTTGAATAAAATTGAAAGTAGAAAGCTTGAATCTTGAATCTTGAATTACAAAAACTTAGAAAATAATAATGGAGAACTAGTTCTTAATAACGTAAAAATAAAAGGCTAGAATAAAACTAATGAAATATAAAACACCACTTAGAATATAAATAGCCCTAGAAAAGATAAGAAAGTCGGCAAAAAGCTTGGCGCACAAGGATCCCAGGAGGCACGGACGTGCCTAGTGTGAGGCACGGACGTGCCTCTCTAAAAATAAAAACGCTGCTGAGTCTATCTTCCAGGCACGGACGTGCCTGATGATGGGCACGGACGTGCCTGCTCTGCTGCGCGTATCACTCATCTTAAATCAGTCATAACTTTATATCCAAAGCTCCGTTTGAGGCGTGTAATATATCGTTGGAAAGTTATTCAAGTATACTTTCCAATGCAATTCAAATCACTCCATTATCATTTGTATATCAAAAGTTATGAGCATAATAGTGAACATGTGTCATATTTGTCAAGTATTTCATCAACGTTTTGCTTCATTTTCACTCAAGTTCGTCTCAAACACATGATTTGATATTCTTAAGCAATATGTTTTCATACTCCATGATTATTATACTCAATATTAGCCAACCATACTCCATTTGCATATAAATCACCTGAAATTCATCAAACACAAACGAAGAGTAGTATAGCACAACTTAAGCAAATAATGCAAATATGCACCAAAGATCTCTAATTTTGTAATCAAATGAGCTTAGATACCCACCTAAAACATGTGCAAAATAGGACCTATCATGCATACTTCAAGAAACCACGTAACCACTTCCGGTCAAACCCCACCGCCGGTAAAACCACCAGCAAAATCTCCACGCGTGAAGCCACCACGACCAACACCGCATTTGCCATGGAAGTTCCTGCGCCATCCCCCACCTATTTCTCCGGCGACCCAAAAGTCCAGACCACCACCTGACTCACACGCACCAGACCATCCTTTCACAAAGTCGTCTCTGTCCTTGTTCAAGCCATCGCTAATGGTGGTCTAACAACCATGTTCACCTTTTCTGGCTAGGACACCTGGGCCACCTCCGCTACCGTCAGCAACGCCTTTCTCAAAAAAAAAATTTTTTACCCCATCATCGTCAAACACATCGACCTCCGCCCTTTGTACGGTCCATAAAACAACCCACCCTTCACGAGCTTCGCCGTCCACTCCACCGTGGCCCCCACCCGCAAATCCACCAGAGAAATCACCACCCTTTCTTGCGACCATCGGTGATGAAATGTCGATTTCCGACTTGCCTTGGCTAGGGGCTTCCTCCACCATAACTACCGCCTTGGCCACCACTGGTTCTGCACCCTCCACCATCAGCATTACTTAGCCCACCAGGGATACCGCCGTGTGAACCGTCATAACACAAGGAGAAGCCCCTACGCTCCACCACGTCCTCCTCTTTCTCTTTCTCTGCCACCCTCGAATCTACTTGAGGGTCTTTTTCCTCCATCTTCTCTAATACTTTATGAGATTTCTCACTCTCCTTATTTGGTAGCCACAACCTAGAATGTCGAAGCAGCCAAGTCTTTAATTCTTGCCAATCATAAAATGGTTGCCATCAGTGTTCACATTCGAACCACTGCAACGCTTTGCCATCAAGTCCAATGATGGAAGCCTTCAACTTCGTCTCCTCATTCATCTCGAAAAATTGGAAGGAATCCTCAAGCTAAAGGAGCCAATCTTCCAAATTTCTTCCATTAAACTCTGGAAGTTGCAGCTCTTGTCGAGTTCTCTACTCGTCCTCCTTGAGATCCGAAGTTCTTAGCTCCCTTATGCAAGAAGGGTGTTTGAATCCCTCTTGGATCCATTGCCTCATGAGATGTGCAACTTATGTTCCTACAAACTACATTTTTTTTTAATTTTTTTTGGGGAGGGGGGCTGATGAGGTGGTTTCCGACGCCGGCAATCACAGAACCACCGCTCTGATACCAATTGTTATAGACTGATTGTAAATATTGTATGAATTCTTAGAATGACGATTAAGACTTGATAATTTGATTGATAATGACTAAAATAAAGCTTACAAAGGTAGTAGGTTTAACCTACAACTCTCCTATTAGCAACTTGAGGTTACCACTCTCTATTTCCAATAACCCAATTCATGCCTGCCTTTACCTTTCCCCCCTCTATCTATTTTTATACTAAAGCTAAGGACTATAATCCTAATAATACTAGACTTCCCAAATTGCCCCTCCTAAGATTAGTCTATTACAGAGTTCTTGTTCTTTGTCGTAATGCCTTCTATATTCATCAATGGTTTTTGCTGCTACTGCTGCCAATGTTAGTATGTTACTATCATTAGTGAATTGAATTGAAGCTATGTATGAAAATTTTGGATGAGTGTATTAAATTGCTTATCTTTTACTGAGTTGAAGGACCGCGGAATATGAGTTCAAACTGATTTAAATTTCTGAAGTCATAGAAATAAAGCGCAAAAGTATGTTATCTGTGTTTTGAATAAAAAGAGAGAGACAAAAAGTTTTATTATTTGAAAGCAAAAGAGAGGTACTCCGTATAAGATTTACGGTATAACTTATTTGTATTGAATTATAAACTTTGTGCATATATTTGTAGGCTTAAAAAACTTTACAACGGATGTACATTAAGCCAATAATCGATTATTGTAAAAATTTGTAAATCGTGTGTATATAAAAGTTTTTGCAAACGTTTTTAATAAATTTTAATATGCATAATATACCAAATGAGCATAATTAACTTTATTTCTCCTTTGAAATTTCCAACATACGCTCCAGCAATGCAGTGTGACCTATTTCTAGTTATAGTTGTATGAAGTATATCTTTAACAAAAATTTTACTCATTCACATGTATATGAACTTAATAGTTCATTTCATCTATCAAAACTTACTTCAATGCATAATAGTTCATTCTATTTATCAAAAACCAACTTCGATTTATGTATCTAATTCAGACACACCCAAATGTATATATTTTAAGAAGTATAATACAAGTAGAATTTTTTTTGTAAAGTAGATAAAATACAAAGACATAATCAAGGTAATATTATCATCTTATCTACCATTCAAACCTTGACTTGGATTAATGGTAAATAAGATGATAATATTACCTTGATTACTTCAAATTCCAAAATTAAAAAGTAAAAAAAGTCACGTGAAAAACACGTGAATAAGAAGTTAACCATATAAATATTCCAACCTAAGCCAAATAGCCAATAAAAGAAGACTATCATTCCTTTTTGCGTTTTTCTCTCTCCTCCGGTCTCCCATCAGTCTCAGTCAATCGCACTATTCACATCTCCGCCGCAAGCGCCGCCGCGATGCCGCCGGCGCAACCTCGCAATCGCGCCTCCTGCGCTGCAGCTCCATCCTCTTCTTCATCCTCCGTCAAGGTCAATTTCTCTCTCCTCCGAACAATTTTCTCTAGTTTCAATTTCATCATGATCTAGAAATCATCGAATTATTATTATATAGAATTCTCAATTTCCGATTTTAGGTTAAATTAGTGAAAACTTCTTTGTTTGAATGATTGGATTATGCTATATATTTTCAGGCGCCGTTAAATTCGGACTCGTTTCTGAATGAATTGACGGCAATGTATGAAAGAAATACTGAGAAGGGTTCTGTTTGGGTTACTCTTAAGCGCTGTATGTAGCTTTTTTATTCTTAATTTTTTAAAATTTGGTGTGATTTTGTTTGATTTTGATGGTGCATTGTTTGATTATAGCATCTATGAAGTCGAAGGTGCAGAGGAATAAGATGAATACTGCCGGAGAAGCCATTGATTACCGATGCCTAATTCGCGCTACCGATGGCAAGAAAACAATTTCCACCACAGTAAGTTCCTGTTGATATTATGGTGTTGAATTTGAACTTGAATTTTGAATGAACGGTTTGTTGTTGGAATATTTGGTGTTGATGGAATTAGTGTGTTGGTGGTAATTTGGGAACCATTGTAGGATTAGGGAGCTAGGTGTTTGGAACATGTAAGGATTCTTGTGGGGACGACACTTAGGTTTGGCTAAGCTGTGTGCTGGTGGTGGAGTTTCGATATATGCTGGAGTTAACTAGCTAAGTGACATGGATTTGATTGTGGTCTATACAAGTGTTTCCAAATTTAGTGTAAGAATTAGGATTACTTTTGGTGGGTTGATTTTTTTTTTTTTTTTTTTTTTTTTTTTTTTTTTTTTTTTTTTTTGCGTTCAAGTGATACTAGCTGTCAGCAATTCGTGATCACTATGATCACCAATTTCTTCAAGCTTTATAAAATATGCCTTTGCCTAGACAACAACTCCTTAAAAAACTGATGGCTTCCAAAGGAATATAATTTCTGGTAATGCTCTCCACTAGAGCCGATAGCCAATGATAATAGAGTCAGGCCAAGTTTAAAGGGCTTTTAATTGACAGGGCCTTTAACGGATAGCGCCCTTATTGGGTAGGGTCAATATAGGGCCAAAATGTTTTTCCAAATTAATAGACAAATAAAATAGATAATGTAAAAATAATTACATACTCCCTCCGCCCGGGATTATCTGCACCAAAGGACAGTTTTGCGGACTCCTAGGTAAAACTTCTTAAGCAAGATTAAAGGAAAGTAAGAGGAGAGAGAAGGGATAATTAAACTTAATTAAAATAAAACACATAATTAAACATTAAAAAACAACCACCCCCACGAACCACCGCACCACCCCACGAACCACCGAAACCACCGAGACCACCACCAAAACCCGCCACCGCACAAACCAAACCACCGAAACCGCCACCCAACGAACCCCCAACACCCAACCCCACTTACGCACCCCCCACGAAACCACCACCAAAACCCACCACCCCACAAGCCAAACCATCGAAACCGCCAACCCATGAACCTCCAACACCCAACCCCACTTACGCAACCCCCACGACACCACCGAAACCACCACCAAACCCACCACCCCACAAACCAAACCACTGATTTCCAGATCTGGAATTGAAATCCACCACACCAAAACCCACGAATTTAGCAATAACTGTGGCGACGGAAAGGGGTAGGGCTAGTCGGAGATTTGCGCGACGATTTACGGTCTGGGATGGCCGGAGTTTAGCAACAACAGGGGCGACGAAGGTGGTGTTGGTGCTCTGGGTTTGTGGTGGTATGGGCGACGACGGTGGTGCTGGTGCTCTGGTTTCGTGGTGGTAGTGGCGGCGAAGGTGGCTGTGATAAGGTGGTAATTAGTTGGTAATTGAGTGTAATTAAGAGAATGTAAACAAAGTTAAAAAATTTAAGGGTAAATGTGACATTTTACTACTAAAAATTTACCAAAAAAGGAAAGAAAAAATTTTGTTGCAGATAATATAAAGCACTCATTTTAGGCAAAATGTTGCAGATAATTGCGGGCGGAGGGAGTAGATAAATTTGTATTCATATATACTTAATAATGGCTTTGTTCAATATTTATTTTATATTGATATTTTGTAGGCCCACCCATTATCGACCCGCTATTGACCCTATAAAATATGACCCTCTTTGACCCAACCCACAATTGACCCGCACCGACCCGACCCGCCCAATAACCAGGTCTACTCTCCACCTAGCATTTAGCCCTGCTAGCTAAGTCACATGGATTTGATTGCGGTCTACACAAGTCTTTCCAAATTTAGTGTAAGAATTAGGATTACTTTTGGTAGCTTTTTTTTTTTTTTTTTTTTTTTTTTTTTTTTTGCGTTCAAGTGATACTAGCTGTCAGCAGTTCGTGATCACCCGTTTCTTCAAGATTTATAAAATACGCCTTTGCCTAGACAGCAACTCCTTAGAAAACTGATGGCTTCCAAAGGAATTTATTTGCTGGTAATGCTCTCCACCTAGCATTTAGCCCTACCTACTGATTCTTCACTTATTGCTTTGACCTCATTTTAATTTGGTGCCATATATGCTCTGATAACAATTAGTTGTCAAAGTTGCTAATGTCAGTTGTACCTCTCAGATTTGATAATCTAGTTATCTACTTCCCATTGTTGCCCTCAAGGTACCTAACCAATCATCAATAATAGTCACTGTTTATTCCTTGATGTTGTTTGGAAAGGAGATAAGTGCCTTGTACTTTTTATAGAGAAGTGCAATCTGCAGTTTGAGAGTTTTCAAAATTCTCCTTCACTCTTCAAATGGTGAGAAATAACATTTTGTATGATAAATTGATAGCTTTCTAAGGAGGATAGAACCAGAAAACCATGGTCCAACGTGGCTCATCAAATTTAATTTTCCATTATGTTTGCTTTTGTTGAGAGGAAAAGTGTAGATCATTCCACAATTGAGTCTTGATAAATGGCTTCATTTATATTGTTTTCTTTGCTTATATTCTCTTTGATTAATTATCTGATGGCTGATACCTTTGGTTGATTTGTTGTTTTTGAAGGATTTAATTATGATAATGTGCTCTCTTTTCCAAAAAGTTATTATGTGTAAAGTATCAATACCCCAGTACCATTTTTTAAGATGAATTTACTGGTAACCAGTGATGCCTTTTCTTTTCACTCTGACTGATGTTCATGGTTGCTATTTGCCTATTTCAGTTTAGCTTCCTTTTACAATACCCTATACGGCTACACCCCATCTCCTGCTGCAAAAACCCACTTTTTGCATTTTACTTGTTTCCTTAATGGATGTTTTGTGCAAGGTAGCATTGAAGCTATGCTGCTAATCTCCCTGACTTAGCTTGGCCTTTTGCCTTGACTAAAATATCTGTAAGTTTTACTTGGAGTCTTGGAGTAAAGCTTTAGTATGTCATTTTGTGCTGTAGTGTTAGATTAACAATGTTTTAACTGTAACTTTACACTATCAGTTTAACATTACTCGTTCTTAAACTTGCATTATCATTTTACAAATAAATTAATTTTACCAATAACATACTACTAGTCATTCCTCATTATTATATTTTCTTTATTTGTATATTTTATGCTTCGGTGCAAATAATTGATAGTAAGGTCAAACAATATTTTCAACAAAATCATAAGGCATGTTTAGCATGGTTGCATGACTTCCTAGGCATGTCACGCGTGTGCTGTATGACACAGCAGGAACAAAGCCAGTGGGTTGTTGTAATGGACTAACCTAAGGAGGGGAAATATGGTCAGACAGGGCAGTCTGACCTAGACCCTGATACAGAGCCAACTAGTTAAGGCACATCGCCCATGTAAATATCCCGTCTACTATTTTGTGTGTCGTATACTCTTATTACATCGTAGACGATGTTGCCTTTTAGGACACTTGAATTAATAAGAATATTTTCACCAATATAAATCACGTTTTGAAACCTTTTCAGTTGCTTTAGAAGATTGTGCTTCTGTTATGGAGGTTTACATTCTTTGTACCACTTAAGAAGTGCTCCAAATGATTTACTTTCAGTTTTTTTTTTATTTATTTATTTTTTTAAAAAGTTTCTCATCTTTATACTGGGGTTTGAATTGACATAAACCTGATTAAGCAGCTTTGAAATGAAGTATATGATTTCAATTAAGCTTATTTTATGATGGGCCAGTTGGAGAGGCAGAAGATGACTTTATGAGGTGAGGAAGTCTTGCCTGTGGTTCAACATCTCTCTGGAAACCTGGATGGGTTAAGCTAGAGTTGTATGTCAGAAGGTGTAGTTCTTAGTCTCTTGGAGAAGTAGTCCCTAAAGAAGTTGCCTGGTTATTATGGAAACATTCATCCATTTACGATGGCTAGAAATATTTTGTGGCTTTTTCGTATAAGACATGTAGGTATAAAAATGTAAGAGCTATTTCTGTCGCAATTTAGGTTGGTTACATTGCCAAGAGTTTCTGTTTAGTAGTGTCAAGTGCGGGAATCTTTCATTGTGACTCAATTTAAGTCTGCAAAAATGTGTGGCTATAGGATTTTGTGCCCTTTGGTCTGACTCACCAATTGGCTAATACTAAAGAGGTTTTGGCCTGTATGTGCTATCCACAACCCATAAGCTCGATCATACTTATAGAGCATACTGTATGTCGTAGTGAGAAATCAATGTTGTTTGGTGAGGATCAGACATTTAGACGTGACTCTTGTGATCAAACCTGTCTTCATGGAGTTTATTTGGTTGAACCTGTTGATTGTTACTGATCACCAATGATGTACGTCTCCTGGATTTTTGTGCTACTTTTTCCTCAACTAATATGACAAGTAATGAACTTTTGAATATCCAGGAGTAAGATGTATATTTTCTTTGTAGATTTAATGATAAGGTGTATGGTGTAACACTGAAATATTACTGATTTCAAGGTGCACTAATATTACCGCTTCATGATCTCTAGTCCCCTTCAAATGATTATATTTTTGCTACATTTCTGTACTCTGATATTTCTCTAATTTTGTTATGGATCCTGTATGTCTTGCTCAGTTCTATTTGCATTATTGTCCTTATTGGTCATATTGGTTGCTCTTAATAATCAAAATCTTGTGGTCCTTGTAGAATTTACACTTTGCTATGTGGATTTGCAGTCATTTGTGCTGTATTTATGCACCAGACTTAGTTGCTAGATGCCTGCACTATGCCACTACATGAAATGTAAACGAAACATGTGTGCCTTTGTTATGGTGATTGGATATTTGGGAATATTCCCTGCAGGCCTACACTGTTTTTTCATTCTGAACATCTGTTTATATTGTGGATGACTTAATTCAACTTCTTGCGTAAACTTCCTATAATGTTTCCATAATGGACATTTGTTGTTTATGAATGATACATACCTCTCCATCTTTAGGGTTGAACTAAACAATTAGCATTGTTTGTTAATCAAAACTTAAATTAGACGAAGATGGATACATGAGAATGCCAAAAACTGGGACTTTATTCAAATTGCCATTGTTATGCTATATTGCTGTAATATGATGGTATCCTACGTGTGATGTGCAATTCTTCTGGATTCATCTGTGGCTTGATAAAGCATGACTTACGGCATTGAACTCTTCTGCTGGCTTCTTTGGTGTTGCTTTTGCATCAAGACTAGTTAATTATCAACAACTCACCATGTTATAGGCAATTCTCTTGCCGGGTTTTTTTTTTTTTTTTTTTTTTTTGTAACCAGACAAATAGGCAATTACCTTGCTGTTTTTTTTTTAGGCAATCAAGGAAAAGTATAACCAGACAAATGAAAGAAAAACTACAAACGGTTGAAAAGAAAAAGGAATAGATAGAAAATGAAAGAAGGGGGTATTGTCTATCATCAAACCTTGCTGGATCGCTTTTAGTTTATATTTGGTGTCTTGATTTTTGTAAGTTTAAACCGACAATTTTTTTTTTTTTTTTAGTTTTCTCAGCTGCGACCAATGAGATGTTAGCAGAGATCTGTTCATCATCAGAATTGAAAATAGAGTGAATTTATAGAAGTTCAATTTTTTGTTACTGCTTATAATTTTGTTATTTTTATAGAGCACAAGTTGTGCTTATATTTTCCTCAAAAAAAAAATAAAAATAAAAAAGGTTGTGCTTATATGAGATCTGCAATTGAATATGAAAGATTGAAAGGTTACTTTGCCTATTTTTGAATATTGCTGATGATTTTCACTTTGATTTTTCTTTCAGGTGGGTCCTAAGGAACACCAACGTTTTCAAGCTTCATATGCAACCATCTTGAAAGCTCATATGACTTCTCTAAAGAAACGGGAAAGGAAGGACAAACGAAAGGCTGCTGATTCAGATAAGAAAGCAGGAAGTTCAAAGAAGGTGTCTTCTTCTAAGTGATTTTTTCGCTCTTTTGGACATGACCGGGTTTTTCTTCCCCTAATATACAGCTCGGAATTTTTTGAGAATGAGAGGGTTGTTTTCAGAAATTTGCTCCACCCCTTGAATTTATGTATACCTAAATTTGGTGAGCCTACGCGAGATTGTTTTAAATGACATGGGGTAAAAGTCCAAAATCTTTTTGATTCATGTTACAGGGTTTCAATCTAGGTTTAAATTATCATTCGTTATTTTGATAATATCTTTTAATGGCTAAATTTAATGATTACCTTATCAATCGTTTCACGGCACTAATCTAAGTGAAATTTCTTTCCATACAAATACGTTGCAAGTGTTACACTTGTATTCATTGTCTGCAGTTCAATTTGTGCTGTTTTGGCTCATCACTAGACTTTAACTGATGAAGAACCATGAATTGAAACATCTGGGCCATCTAGTTTGGCATATCCTGTAGCAGATGATAAACTTATTTGCACTCAGAACCCATATAGCCATATGGGTGCGTTTATACCGTCTATATATATATATATATATATAGGATCAAGTTATAATGACTGAGAACTAGTCGAATAATAGAAACTAGAAACTCATCACAACCATCAGATTAAAAGAAAACAGACGGATCAGATCATTTAATATTTAGAATTTTGAATCATGCGATTAGCTCTACACTTTCTCTCTCCTCCGATCAATCTCTCTCCTTCATTGATGCTAGTGCTTTGAGTTCTCCATTAGAGCAGTTTTCGAGCATTCTCTTCTCCATTGAAGCAGCTTTCATGCTCTTTGTACTCTATTGAAGCAATAAGATGTTTTTTCTTTTCTTTTTTTCTTTTTTTCAATGACATTATCTGTATGTGGTTTTTCGTGAATTTTGTTGTTAGTAAAATGGTCAATTTAGGGTTCTTAATAGTGAAATTCCGGATTACCTACTAATTGTCGCTATGTCGTCCATGGTGTTGTATGTTTTGATGATAAATTTTTGAATTTGACAAAATGCCTCAATGAATTCTATTATTTAATCTATTTCAAATGTAGAAAGAAACCAAGTAAAAGTAAATTGAAAGACTAAAATTATGATTTATAATATATATGAGCAATCCAAATCAGAGGGAGTGTAGAATCAGAGGTGTGAATGCTAGTGTGGTCATGAATCAGGTATGCATGCAATTAAGCTTTAGTTGTTGGCTCTTGTTTATATATATATATAGAAGCTAAAACCAAATTACTGATATATATCTTTTGTGAGTCTGCAACTACTTTCAGGAGTTGTTCAACAAATATTTTCAATCTTACTTTGAATTAAAAGCAAGACCTTTTTGTCCTGAAAGTGTCTAAGTTCTAACATGTGCTGAGAAATTATGGCTGAATTGGATCATTAGGCAGCTATAACTGGAACACAGTGTTCATTATTTTGTAGAGCACTATGCGGATGTATAGAGGTGTAGGTTCGATTTTTACATAGGTTATCTCTAAAATTAAATATTAGACACTTTAAAGTAATTCAAAACATCCCAAAAGTAAATCAAATTAGCTCTAAGGTATACAAACAAAAGAGGTTGTTTTTTGATGATTTTTGTAACATGAGGTTAACTCGATCCTATAGTGGACACACCTGCTCTCATTACTGTCACTCAATTTGATAGATTAATGATGAAGGAGAACCTTTGGCGTGGGATTTGGTTGCTACAAGGTCCACCAAAGCTGAGACACTTCTTGTGGAGGGCCTGTAAAGGCAGCCTGGCAGTCAAAGAAAGCCTTCAAAAGCGTCATATAGTAGAGGATGCGATCTGCCCAATTCGTGGTGCTAGCTCTGAGACAATAATTCATGCCATTTTTGAGAGTAAGGTGGCAGCTCCTATATGGCAGCATGACCCTCTGGCTATTGTGATTGCTGATGCACCCTCTGCCTCTTTTACAGAAAGATGGGTCTGGCTTGCTTCAAAATTAAGCTCTGGTGAGTTAAGGACAACAATTACTCTGATGTGGGCGGCATGGGCATGTAAGAATAAGGCGTATTTTGAGAACACGAAACCTGATGCTGTTGCCTTGGCTGCGGGTTATGTAAAGATGGTGGAGGAGTACTTAATCTATGCGCAGAGAGTATATAGTGATGCACCTTGTGCTACTGCACAGCCGACTGTAAACACGTGGAAATGCCCTCCTGTTGGGTATGTAAAGGTGAATACAGATGCTCATTAGTTGGGTAAATAAAAAATAATTTTATTTAATGAATAAACCTACATGGGATTCAAACCCACATCTTTTGGGCATTTGCACAATGCTCTACCTTTGAGCTAGTAGGCTAGTGTACATTAAAAATTCAAGGTAATGAAAAACAGCTCAAAAGTAAATAAAAAAATCTCAAATGTAAACAAAAAAAACTATAAAAGTATATGTACAATCATCGGGGATGTTTGGTCATTACCAATATAATATCATCAATTATCAGGTGGAAGATTGCTTCAGAAATGATATATGAAGATTAGGCAACTATTTATTAGCAAAAGAACGTTTGAACAAGTTGAAACCTAAGACATCAAAGACTTCAGCCGGTTTAGGTGGTTTAGGTAGATAAGCAACACTTTGAGCACCAATTTCATGTGCCCTCAAGTGTTTCTTGACTGTGATGGGAAAATAAATTCCTCCCTTGGCAGTGGGATCATTAGCTACAACACATACAAAATTACCCATTAACTGGTTCAATTCATGTGAATATTCCTCACTTAACAGTGGATCATTAGCTACAATCATACAAAATTGTTCTCATGAGATCTCAACCTTAGTGCATTCAAGCTTAATCAATTATATACTTAAGATTAGACAAGCCAACTTGGAAATAAACACAAACAAAGCATACTATCAGACAAAGAATTTAACTATTTCCCCAACAAAGCAGAGTAAACATACCCACAATTCATATATCCCAAATTACATATTAACTTACACAGATGAAAAAATTTAAGCCCAATAATATGAAAAATAAGCATACAAAATAAAAAAATCAACCCTCATACATAGCAATTGCCATACACATACAACATCAAATTTACTCTGCTCCACTGACCTTTAACTCTTTAAGCACCTGTAAGAATATACTATCATGAGATCAGATCAACCCCAAAGAAAAGCATGAGATCGGATCAAAGTAAAGGTGTTTCAATTAAAAGTAAATAGAATAATACAAAAAGTAAATAAAAAAACCCAAAAAAAATTCATAAACAAGAAATTTTTGCAAGCCCGTGATGCAAATCCCACTAGTTTAACAATATCAATTCTTGAAATTCACTCAAATAGACTCAACGAAAACAACTCAAATATCAAACAAGATAATTGAATAAACCGTAAATTCTCGGAAACCACAGCAGCAACATAGTAGTATTATACAAATTCTCAGGATACAACCAGGGAAACCACAACAACAACATAGTAGTACTATACAAATTCAAGCGAAAATCCTAATTAAAACAATTGAATCAACCAAATTAAAATAATTGAATAAATCGTAAATTCAGAAAATTACTTTATACGATGTCAGCAACACTTTAGGATAGCTAAGATCCAACTCCTTCTCCTCTCTATCATCATTCGACATGATTCTTCAACAATCTAATTCATCAAAATGTCTATCACTTTCGGTCGCTGGAAAATAGCGAGAACCCTAAATTAAAAAAATTCGAATCAATCAAAACTACAAAACACAAACCCTAATCGAATAAAAAGAACAAAAAACATCAAATAAACAACTTACTTGTCCAGATTTAGTCATAGTGGCAACAAAGATCGGAAAACAACTTCAAGAATTCGATTAGAGAAGAGCAAAGAAAGAGTCGCAGAAGAGAGAATTGGGTGGAAGAGAGAGAAAGTGCGAGCAAGAGAGAGAAAGAGAAATAAAGATTAGAGGTAGTCATTCAAAGTACTGAATTTCTTATTTTGCCCTTAATGAAGCGGGCGAGTAGATGTAATCAACAATCCAGATCAGTTCTTAGTTCCTATTATTCACCTTGGATCTCACATGATCTTATATATTACTTCCGTTAAATGTTATGTGCAACTTTTGTCAAAACGGGATGATAAGGGTTATGTGTAACTCTCTGTTTTCTTTCTATTTTTAGTAAACAAAAATCCTGGAAAATACATATTTACCCTTACTTAAAAATTCTGATTTTCTTAATTTTGCCCTTAACTTAATTTAACCACATTAACCTAAAACTAATCAGATTTCCCTAATTTAATTAATCTCTCCATTTACTCCCAATCCTAACCACCAACAATTTATGTGATGGCTGATATTCCTTCAGATTCTTCCAGATGAACCTTCATGTTCATCCTCTTCGTCTTCCTCTCTCCTCTTCGTCCTTCATTTTCTCCAATTCATCATCCTCTTCGTCTTCCTCTCTCCTCTTCGTCCTTCATTTTCTCCAATTTGTGATATTCCATCCATTAATAGTGAAAAACCTCCAGATGAACCTACATGTTCATCCTCTTCGTCCTTCACTCTCCAGATCAAGACTTTAAACAACAGATCTTTGACAAAACGAGTATAGAAAATGGGTTTTGATCTTCTGAGTTTTGATTTCTTCTTCCTCTCTCCTCTTCGTAGATTTTCTGAGTTTTGATTTTCTGGATTTTGATTTCAATTTTTTGGGTTTTGATTTTCAAGGTTTTGATTTCAATTTTCTGGGTTTTGATTTTGATTTTCTGAGTTTTGATTTTTTGGGTTTTGATTTTGATGGAAGGTGATGATGATGGTCAGATTTCTGGGTTAGGGTTTGAGGGCGTGGATTTTGGGTTTTATTGAAGGTGATGAAGGTGGCGATTTCCGTGTTAGGGTTCTAGGGCGTGGGTTTTAGGTGATTTGGGTGACAATTTCTGGGTAAGGTTTGGGATTTCTGGGTTTGGTAGTGGTGGTGGTGGTTTCGTGGGGTTGGTAGTGGTGTGGTTTTGTGGGGGTGGTGGTGGTGGTGGTGGTTTCGTGAGGGTCGTAGTGGTGGTGGTTTCGTGGGGTGGTACCGGTGGTGGTGAAGGCGGCGGTGGTGGTCGTGAAGGTGGTGTGGGTGGTGATTAGGGGATTTTGCTCCCACCAATCGGAATGCGCCACGTGCGCCAATCAGGTCCTGCCAAGTGTCCCCCAGTTGGACCTCTCAGGGCTTGCCACGTGGCACACACTTATTCGTCCACCCTGGACTTATTATGTCATGACACGTGGCATACTCCATGCCTAGTGGAGAAGCCGGTCACCTAGGCCCAACTTCCGAGGGAAGCCCAATCAGCCCAAGGTTAACCTAAACCTAGATTGGCACGTTTCCCGAGGTTATAAATACCTCCCTTAAACCTCCCGTCAGTCCGGCTTTCATAGCGACCAGGCGGTACCAAACTTACCGTTTGTACCGCAACAATAGTATTTTTTACAGCCACCTCCGTTTGGTGGACATGCAGCAAAAAATGTCCAACCTATGGACTGGCAGCTACGGTTGCTTAGACTTGGTGAACAGCCGTCGGCCTTCTCCAAGGAAATTACTGAAGCCGCTCAGCCGGCCAAAGTGAAAAATGTATTAGTAGGCGCCTATGACGGCACTACTAACCCAGAAGACCATCTGATGGCATTCACCAACCTGATGTACCTTCAAGGGTTGGATGATCCCACTTGGTGCAAGTGTTTCCCAGCGACTCTCAAAGGAATCGCACAACAATGGTTCGGCAACCTGCCGACTGGTTGTGTAAATAACTTCAAGACGCTTGCTTACTTATTCACCTCCAACTTCGCCATGAACATCCCTGCGAAGAAGACGACCCTTGATTTAGGAACAATTCAGCAGGGCGAGAAGGAGGGGCTTCGTTCTTACATCAGGCGGTTTAACCTGATGAGAATACAGATTCAAGGGTTACCGGATGAAGTAGCCTATACTGACTTTTTCAGAGGTCTCAAAGACGGGTCAACCTTCAAATTTGATTTGGTCCGAAAGAGGGTGGCGACTCTTCAAGAGGCCTTGATTGAAGCGGAAGCCTATATACAGGCGACTGATCTTTGTAGTACGGTAAAACAGTCAGACGGGAAAAGGTCCGACAAAAGAGAAGGGCGACAGAAACGGTCGTCAAACAAAGATGAGAAGAGAAAAGAGGTCTGGGCGGCTGATTCCTCTAAACAGCCGGCCCAGAAGAAGAAAAAAGAATTCAAACCATACTCCCCAAAGTATGCGTTTAACAAGGATAGCCAATTTATCCTAAAGGAAATCAAGGGACGGATCTCAATTGAGAAGCCGGTCCCCATGAAGGGTTCTGCAAACAACCGGAACCAAGAAAAATTCTGTGATTATCATGAAGATGTTGGTCATCACACCAATGAATGCATCAGTCTCATGCGGTATCTGGACCGCCTGGCTGAGCAAGGTGATCTTGACACTTATGTCAAGAAATCTACGGGGAACACTTTCTCGAAAAAGCAGTCGACCAAAAAGAATCAACAGGCCGACAGCTCCAATACAGATGATGCAGTTGTCTACACCATTGCAGGCGGCTTCTCAGGAGGCGGCCCCACTATTAGGGGCAACAAAGACAATATCAGACAGTTAGATGTAAATTCCGTTCACCAAGAACGACCCTCCAAATATTCATTTCCTGAGATTGTCATCATTGAAGAAGATCTAGGAGGGGTAAGAGGGCCGCATGACGACCCTATCGTTATTGAATGTAAAGTGGCCAACCAGAGTGTTGGCCGAATCCTCATAGATACCGGAAGCTCCTCAGATCTCATCAGTAGCAAATGTCTGTCGAAACTAAAATATCAGACTGATTGCATACATCCGGCATCCCACCCTTTAGTAGGGTTTGGAGGAGGAGTTGTCCACCCAGTGGGACGAGTGGATTTACCCATCCGCCTGGATGAAAAAGGGGAAGGACGACACATGGTAGTCCGGTTCCTGGTAGTAGAAGAACTCTCGGCCTACAACATGATTCTGGGACGACCAACCCTGAATAATTCCAAGGCTGTTATAATCCCATCTCTTATGTTGCTCAAGTTTGAGAGGGATAATGGAACAGTCGGGTCCCTAAGGGGAGATCAGAGGATGGCCCGAGAGTGCTATCTCTCGGATGTCAAGCCCACTGTTATGGCCACTATGTCGAGCGGTGGAAAAATAGACCTTGACAATGTCAAGGAGAGTGCGCCTGTTCAAGAAGCAGGCGACAAGAAGAGAAAGGCATCCCAGACAGCTGGTGAGCATACGGACCTGATCTTAGATGACTCGCGTCCTGACAGAACAATCAAGGTTGGGACGACTGCTCTAAGGGACCTGGGTGACGACTTTCACAAACTATTGAAAGAATACATGGACATCTTTGCATTCGAAGTCCATGAAATGCCAGGCATTAGTCCTGATCTGGCGGTACATAAACTGGCCGTGGATCCGAAAAAGAAGCCGGTACGGCAGAAGAAGCGGAACCATGGCGAAGAAAGAAGTCGGGCGGCAGCCGCCGAAGTTAAAAAATTACTTGATGCAGGGTTCATTCGGCAATGTTACTTCCCAGACTGGGTTGCAAATGTGGTGCTTGTTAAAAAGCCGAAGGGCACCTGGCGAATGTGTGTAGACTACACAGACTTAAACAAGGCGTGCCCCAAAGACAGTTACCCTCTGCCTAAAATTGATAACCTGGTCGACTCAACAGCCGGTCATGCTTTGATGAGCTTTATGGACGCCTACTCTGGTTTCCATAAAATTCCTTTATGGAAGAAAGATCAGGAGAAGACGTCCTTCGTCACTGATCAGGGGTTATACTGTTACACGGTCATGCCGTTTGGTCTTAAGAATGCCCCAGCCACTTTCCAGCGAATGATAAACACTGTGTTCTTTGATCAGATTGGGAGAAATGTCGAGGCATATATTGATGATATGATTGTCAAGTCTAAACTTCAGAAAGATCATCTGTCGGACCTCCGAGAAACTTTCGCCACACTCAGGCGGCACCATGTCATGCTCAATCCCAAGAAATGTTTCTTTGGAGTTGAGTCTGGGAAATTTCTCGGATTCCTTATCAATCAGAGAGGAATAAAGGCGAACCCCGAGAAGGTGCAGGCGGTCATCGACATGCAGTCGCCTCGTACCATCCGAGAGGTTCAGAAGTTAACAGGTTGTCTGGCGGCCTTGGGAAGATTTCTAAGCCGATCAGGCGACAAATGCCTATACTTTTTCCAGGCAATTAAGAAAAAGGCAAGGTTTGAATGGGGGCCGGATGCTGAGGCGGCCTTCCAGAAATTGAAAGTTCACTTGCATTCCTTGCCGAGGCTGGTCAGCCCTTTGCCCAAAGAAGTGCTCTACATGTACCTGGCCGTCTCTGATCATGCGTTAAGCGCTGTTCTCCTTGCTGAAAGAGACGGCTGTCAGCTCCCGGTCTACTTTGTCAGTCACGTACTGAAAAATGCCGAGTTGAGGTATCCCTTAGTGGAGAAATTTGGTCTTGCACTCTTCATGGCTGTTAAAAAATTGAAGCCTTACTTTTTGGCACATGCAGTCGTCGTGTATACAGACCAACCTATCAAGCGCCCACTGACCATCATGGAGTCGTCAGGCCGAATGATCATATGGGCCATAGAAATACAGAGCCTCGAAGTTACCTTCGAGCCTAGAAAAGCAGTGAAGGGGCAAGCCTTTGCTGACTTTATTGTTGAGATGACTCGTCCTCCTGACTCTCAAGTTCCAGACCAAGTCTGGAAGGTATATGTGGATGGAAGCTCTACTTCAAATGGTTGTGGAGCAGGCGTCATATGTCAGTCGCCAGAGGGCGACAGGTACGAGTATGCTCTACGCTTCAGTTTTCAGGCCTCAAACAATGAGGCAGAATATGAAGCTTTACTAGCCGGAATCCGCATGTGCAAGGTGGCAGGGGCACGAAAGATAGACGCCTGTTCCGATTCACAATTGATAGTGAGTCAGTATAATGGTGAATACGAAGCAACCCATCCGGCCATGATCAAGTATTTACAGGCGGTACGACAGGCA